GCCCACCTGCTCCGCGGGGAGCGACCATTGGGCCCGCGCCAATTCACAGGCACATTGGGGGGAGGTGCGGGCCTTGCTGCCGGGGCCCCGGCGCCGCGGCCGTTCCCACACTCAGCGGCCAATGGCGGCGCCGGCCGCACAAAGGCGCCGGCCCATTAGCGCACGCTAAATTGCCTGTGAATTGGCGCGGGCACAATGGTCGCTCCCCGAGGAGCAGGTGGGCCGCGCGGCACAATGTCCGGGCTGTGGGAACGCGCTCGCCCTCATTAGCATCCCGGGGCCTGATGCTGAGAGCCCCGCGCCTCAATATGCTGCCTTTTCCCAGGCCGCGGGGAGGTGGGGAGGGCAGGAAGGAGCGCCCCTTCCCCCATTCTCTCCCTTCTTCCCTCCCACTCCCCAGCGGCTCCCCACCGCTGGCTGGCAGAGGCCACAGGCGCAGAAAAAGGAGTCTTACAATTAACAGACAGCCGCTTCCAGAGGGTGGGCACGGGTGGGCTCCCCATTTGGGACCTGTTGCCCACAGGGAGAGTGTGTTGCAGTGGGCCACATTCTCCCAAACAGGTGCTGCCAGTCATACTTTCCACAGGTAGTGGATGAGAGAGGAACTCAGGCACTTAGGATCAGCATTAGTAGCTTTTATTGCCAGTCCCCAAACTGTCACTTGGGAGGAGTGACTTCTGCAGAGCTAGAACTGGCTGGGTGTTAAAGTGTGCAGCCTGCCGGGCATACCACCTGAATTTGCTTTGGATAGTGCCTAGTATGAAGCCCCACACTCAGGAAGCCTGCAGAAGCCTCCACACTCACAGGGTGTCTAGACTGTCTTGTACTGTCATCGGTGCCTTCTCTCCACCCTGTGTGGACCTGAGTACTACTATGCCTAGTTCTCTTAATCGGAGGACCATGCCTCCTTCACTTGCCTGTGATCCCTATTCTTGCATGGCTCCTTGGCTGCCCCTAACTTCTCTCACAGCCCCCCCCCCCCGCCGTGTGTGTATTATTGTTTGACTCAGCATTGTGTGTGTGGGGGTGCTAGGTGGCTCATGAATGTTGTGCCAGGATAGTTGGTCTCCTTTGGATGAACTTATAACAGTGGTGTCAGGTCAGGTGACCTGACTAGTCCCACCCTAGACTCTTAGGAAATGGCCATGAGGGAGTGTCACCTGGAACCTGTACTATTTCCCTTACAGTCTTCAGGGGCTGAGGGAGGAGATGAGGCCATTTCTTCCCCCTGAGGCAGCCTAAGACCTAGTCAGGTCCAAGTAGACGGCTGGCATCAGAACACTGCAGCCAGAGCTGAAATCAGCTTCTCTAGATGGTTGTCAGCCATGTCTGGCTGAGCCCAGGAATCAAAAGGCTTCATTAGAGTCCACTCAGGAAATACCTTCCTGCCATGGCAGTGACCGACTGCTGTGTTTGCCAGGCCTAGGGTAAGGAACGATCTGGGACAGTGTGGATGACTTGGCTTTGAGACAGCTTATAATGGCCTGTCCACAGCCAGATATAGGTACACAGGTATGTATAGTCACCTCCCACACCCCCCACCCTGAGCGGGAGGCTTCTCTCTGCGGTGTTTGTTTGATGTAGAAGGTAGAGGGGAGGCTCAGACCTGCATGCCTAGGCCTCTGGTCCTGCAGTCCTGAGGACCTGTGGCAAGCAGCCCCCACAAACCACAAAGGAGAGGGAGTCCCGATGGTGCTCGGGGGAGCGTTGTTTGCAGCCCAGAAGAGGTTCATGCCATATGGTAGTCAAATTTAGCCATGTTATGGATCCGGGCTCCCTGGGGGTGGAGAGAACAGGATGGAGAGAACAGGTCACCTGTGTGCCTGTTCCATATGTCCTGTCAACAGCAACCAGGTGATCAGCAGAGGGCTGAGGGAATGCAAACAGACCTGGGAGAGCCTGGAACCCACCAACTGGGAGCAGGGTCTGAACCCTTGAGCCCTCACCATTTCCACCTGGCTGCTGGCAGCAAGGACCCAAGACTGCACTCAGATGGGGGGGGGGGGTCATCCAGGCCCAGACTTTGGCGGGGGCAGTTGGCTAAGGCTGGTGCTCTGTACTCTCCGTACCCTCCCCTGAACCAGCTCCTCACCCAAATGAGACGCGTGCCAGGAGATGTGGTCCAACCTCCATCCCACCCCAACCGCCCGCCCACCCGTGGTGAGTTAGGAGAGAGGCCGACTCGGAGTGAGGGTGGTGGGTGGGCCATGGGGAGGGCCACCTCCTCCACGCTCCTCCTCGCCACCCCCGCCCCCGAACCCGAGCAGCTTTGATCCAATTTTCAGTTGTGGGAAATATGAAATGAATGGTGTTAAACCGCAGCCGGATGAAAGGCCGGTTGCCTCCCCGAGTGCGGGCCAGATGGCAGCCCGGGCGGCCTCTGAGGCACACGCCTGGCCTTTGTGGGCCGTTTAACACTGTGAATGGGGCCAAAGTGTGGGAAACTCGCTGGGCTCCTGGCTCACACCGTCCGACTTGAGTAGCGCGCAAAGGGGGAGGGGTGAAGGCTGCCTCTGGCTGGCGGGCTTTGCCTCACAGAAGCACTGTGAGCTGGGGGAGGGGGTGGAGGGGTCCGGCTGCCACTGCAACAACGTGGGGCGGGATGGGGGTGTCCTGCGGGAGGGGATGTCCTGCGGGAGGGGGTGCCCTGCGGGAGGGAGTGTCCTGCGGGATGGGGTGCCCTGCGGGAGGGGGTGCCCTGTGGGATGGGGGTGCCCTTTCCCAAGTCACCCTTCATACACCTTCCAGAGTTGCCCACATGAGAGTTCAGTAAGTTTGGGGGAAACGGCAGTAGATGAAATGGAATACAGTCTGGAGTTGGCGAGGCCCTTCCATTGAGTAATCACACTATTTTGTAGATGGGAGGGCTGCAAACTGAGTTGCCATGGTTATGCTTAAAGTCACAAACCCAATCCCTTCTTCATAAGCTGACTGAGGGACTCCCTGGATGAGGAAGGGCCTTGGGGAGGGCAGTAGTCTACCCCCAGTCTCTGAAGGAGGGCTCAGTTTTGGATGGGAATACAGCACTCTTATAAACAGTTTGGAGGGCCAACAAAATTTAGTGGAATTATTTTGTAGTTCAAAAATTCTGCTTCTGTGTCTATGCTCAAAAAGTTAAAAGCAGACGCAAAGGCTCTCATACCGGTGCTCACAGCTGTGACTTACACAGTAGCCAAGAAGCCAAGGCCACCCAAGTATTCACAGACCAGCGAACAGATAAAGAACAGGCAAGATGTCTATAGAGTGGGAGACCGCTCATCTGTACACAGCACAGGGGAAAGGACAGATTCTGCACGACTCCCATTCCAGGAGGAACCCAGACTTGTGAAATTCACGGTCAGAAAGTAGAGCTAGGGTGGGAGGAAGTTGGGGTGGCAGGTTTGACGGGGACCGTTCTAGCTCGGGAAGAGGAGCAGAAGTGCTGGTGGCAGCTGCACAACATGGCGAGTATATTTAACACGCGTGAACAGCACTCGGAAGTGGGTGGATTTTTATGTTATGTGTATTTGGGCACAACTGGGAAGCTGTCTAGAGAAGAGCCACAGAGATGGTCGTGGTTGTGTGGCGGCAATACTGCCGGGGAATGTTGGGTGTCAGGAGTGCCAGCATCCCCATCCTGCTGCCCCTGGTTCCCAAACATCTGCAGGGGATAGGGCTGGCTCTGGAATCAGGATGTCCCGGGAAAGGGAAGGGGCAGCCTCTTGTTCCCACGGATCTCAGAAGCCCTCATGGAGCCGGGGAGTAGAAAAAGCCACTTGCCTGGGAAGTGATCTTATTTGGGATTGTGGCCACAGAGTCCCTTCAAGTTGTGACCACAGCAAGGTTGTGGTATGCTGAGCCCTGTGCTCATTCCAGCCAGCCTTCTGCTGCAAGGAGGAAGCCGTCCCTGGGAGACAGAGGAGCACTCAGTGGTTGCTGAGTCTGCCTTGGGGGCCAGGCGGGGTGGGCTCTCCTTCATGCTCCCAGCAGGATTTGCAGCAGGGGTGCGTGTGGCCAACGTGTGACTAAGAGCTCACCTGCGAAATGCAGGGCATGGGACACTGGACATAGACCAGCAGTGAGAAAGGGTGTCTGCCTTCAGTTCACACGAACAGCAGCAGAGGTCAAGAGGCTCGCCAAGGCACGTGAACCGTGGCTCAGCTCACCCTGTGTGTCGTCAGAACTGCCAGAGGCTCACAATACAGTTTGCCATCGTTCCCACCAGTCACCCTCTGGTACTTGTGGACTGACTGCCCATGCAGAGGGCAGGGATGGAGTCCAGGCAGAGTTCTCTGTGTTGCTTTGGAGCCTGTCCTGGAACTAGCTCTTGTAGACCAGGCTGGCCTCGAATCCTCAGAGATCCTCCTGCTTCTGCCTCTTAAGTGCTGGGATTAAAGGCATGCGCCACCACCACCCGGCAAGGCTGGGGTTTTCTTTTCCTTGCTTGTTTAACAGAGAATTACGATGTAGTTTGGCTGAGATTCTCCTGCCTCACCCTCCTGAGTGTTGAGAGTCCAGATTTGTGCCACCACACCTAGCTAAGGCTGGGATCCAGACCCTCAACAATTGCCTGCTTTCCTTCCTGAGCCATGAAGGGAGGT